AAAAGAAAGATGGGGGAGAGAGAAGAAGGAAGGAATAAATGAGAGAGGGAAGGGGGAAAGAAAAAGGAGCAGGAAGAGGAAGAAAGAAAGGAAGGAGGAAGGAAGAGAGGGAGGAGGGAGGGAGATGGGAGGAGGAGTATGAAGGGAGAGAGGAAGGAAGGAGAGGGGGAGGGAGGAAGGAGGAGGAAAAAGGAGGGAAATGGGAAGAGGGTGTACAAGGAACAGTGACAGTAGGAGAGGGGACATCCCAGGACCTGGAGGTGCCTGATTATCTTCTTTGAGGGATAGCTGAGCTCTGGGAGGTCAGGGGTCAGGATGGGGAATGAGCTGGAAGCACTTCCAAGAGAGACCCTAAAATGGAGTCTCAATCCCACAGGGCAAGAATAAGACCGCCACCACAATTTTTGAACCAAATTTGAAGCAAGCTTTATTAAATACTGGTCAGGACAACGGACGCTGGCCAGGTCCATACTGGGATTCCCAGAGAATGGCTCGCCCCAAATTCCATTAATTAGAGGCCTATCAAGGCAAACCCCATAAGGCTACATACTTCCAGCCTTCATCTAGTCAGGGACAAATGTCCATCCTGACATACTTCCTGCCTACGTATCTCCCACCTATGTGTGATCAAACATATTTTGTGCATTTGTGGCAATCAAGCTTGTTTACAGAAGAAAAAACACATGGTTTATTATCTTGCATGAACAACAACCCCTAATATTCCAGCAAGTTATCTGTCCTCGGGCAAGTGGGGTTTGCCGGTTAGAGGCATTTCTTTTTGCCCATTATTTTCACACCTTTAATCCCAGCACTTGGGAGGCAGAGAAAGGCGGATTTCTGAGTTCGAGGCCAGCCTGGTCTACAAAGTGAGTTCCAAGACAGCCAGGGCTACACAGAGAAACCCTGTCTCGAAAAAAACAAAACAAACCAAACAAACAAACAAACAAATCTCAGAGGAAGGGATGGCCATGCGGGTGGGTTGGTAGAATTCTTGCCCAGCATTCGGGAAGCCCTGAGATAGATCCCCACCACCCTAGGCATAAGCTGGTGTGCTAGTACACACCAGCAATCCCAGCACTCAGGGGAAGCAGGCCCCAGAGTTTAGTCATCTGCTATTACAACTTCAAGGCCGGAGAAGGCTCCCCAAGACCCTGTCACAAAGAAACCAAGTAGTAAACAGCCCACAGGACTCTACCAAGAGCAACCTGAGTCACCCTACAGCCAGGCCCTGACTCTGGCTTTCCTAGCAGTCTGGGAAGAGGAGGCATGTGCCAGCTCTCCAAAACAAAGACAGATGACCGAAATTCTAAGTGAAAATTCTCCTGTACTTCACTGTCCCTCAAGGGGACTCTATGGTAGAATGTGGGATAACAGCAGCCCAGTCACACATATACACGTCATAAGGACGGGAGGATGGAAGGAAGGAACACGGGTATTTGGGGCAGGATCCAGCTAGAAAAACAGGCAGGGACAGGTCAAAGCCATCACCAGTCACCTCACCTCACTTTGACTTGGTCCATGGAGGGGGATCCCTGAATCCATAAGGCCAGAGGACTGCATTAGCCAAGGGCTGGGAAGGGGCTGCTGGGGATGGAACCCAGATCTCTCTCCCTCTCCGTCTCCGTCTCCTTCTCTGTCTCCCTCTCCGTCTCCCTCTCCCTCTCCTTCTCCCTCTCCTTCTCCCTCTCTTCTCCTTCCCCCTCTCCCTTTCCATCTCTCCTTTTCCCTCTCCCACACTCTCTCCCCCCACTCTCTCCCCCACTCTCTCTGTTTCTCTGTCTGTGTCTCTGTCTGTGTCTCTATCTCTCTCTGTGTCTCTGTCTCTCTGTGTCTCTGTCTCTCTCTGTGTCTCTGTTTCTCTCTGTCTCTCTGTCTCTCTGTCTCTCTCTCTCTCTCTCTCTCTCTCTCTCTCTCTCTCACTAGCAAGTATGTCTGGGAGTACAAGCAGAAGTCAGAAGAGGGCATCAGGTGTTCTCCATCAATCTAGCATTGTCACCTGGCTTGGCTTTAACATCGTTACTGCCACTGTGTGATCATATAACCATTTCCGTGGTCCCTTTGTGTTACTCCAGCCCACTCTCACTGCATGGTCCACAAGCATGGCTAATCCATTGTAGGGATATCTGGGCTGAGTCAGAAGCTGCCCCTGTTAAGAGCGTAGGAATAAGGGTAGGGCAGGGCCCTGCAGCCAGAGAGCTCTGGGTTCAAATTCCAGGCCCTGAGCCTATCAGCAGCTGATTCATTCCTGAAGTTTCAGTAGCGCCGATAACAACCCCCGGGTCTGAGGTAGAAGGAGTGGGCTCCTGGGTGTTTGACAGGTGTTCAGAGCTGCCCGTCCCTTACCCACAGGGCACTCCTTGGTAGACTCAGACTGGAGGGATCAGGAACCTAGGAGATACTTCCTCCTGGCTCCAACACTGATTCACTGGAAGGAGACGTTAGTGAAGGGCAAACACACCCTGGAGTCTCTCCCTCTTCTGCTTCTTGCCCAGTTTCAGTAATAGAAAACGTGAATCCTCAGACATGTGGGCCTCCTCTTACCTTGACGACCACAGATGTGGCTCCCTGAGGCCCCTCTGGCCTATCCTGGCCCTGAGTCCTGTGCCTTTACTTGTGTGGTGACCATGTAGTCACAAGGGAAGCACAGTTCTGCCATGTCCTGTCTTCCCCGTCAGCACATCTTAGTCCTCAACCCCGACTTGTCACCCTGGCAACACCCTCCCCACTAACCTGAGTCTATCAGTCCCTCATCTTCTAAGACACTGACACCCTCTCAGTATCGAGTCACATTGTCACAAACATAGACATTTGTGTCTTTCCACAATAGATTCACATGTAACATCAGCATCTTTGGGCTCATTGGCTATAATTTACCAACTAACCCTAATTTCCCTTGGTAGACCGGATGGTGGCCATCATGGGCCCTTTTATTCCAATCTTAAGAGCTGATAGGAGCTCTCGGGTCGCATGCCACACTTCAAACAGGGCTCAGAATGGAGCTCAAAGGCCTCACAGGAGGTAGAGGAGAAAGCTGGTGCTGAGGCAGGGGCATTGAAGGTGGCTGGCTAAGATCTTCAGAAGCTGATGGGAGGGAGCATTGGAGGCCAACGAGGCAAGACAAGGACCTGGCCACAATTCAAGTTCTCTTGAGCTACCCACCAAGATGGCCACACATAGGGCTGTAGTATTATGTGGCCTTCCTTCTGTGAGGTCCAGTGGAGAATGTTGGAGTTACATTCTTTCCAGGTCTGGTGTGTTCTATAAGCTCGTGGGCATTTTCTGTTTTATTTTCTGTTTTGTTTTGTTTTGGTTTGGTTTGGTTTGGTTTGGTTTCTTCCCTTTGAGTTTGTAGCCCAAGTTAGCTTTCACCAGTAGGTAGTTAAGGATGACCTTGGACAATTCCTCCTCTTCCTCCTCCTCCTCCTCCTCCTCCTCCTCCACCTCCTCCTCCTCCTCCTCCTTCTCCTTGTTTTCCAAGATAGGGTTTCTCTGTGTAGCCCTGGCTGTCCTGGTACTCACTCTGTAGACCAGGCTAGCCTCAAAGTTACAGAGATCCACCTGCCTCTGTCTCCCAAGTACTGGGATTAAAGGTTTGCACCACTACCCAGCAACCTTGAACTTCTAATTCTTCTGCCTCTACTTCCAAAGTGCTGGGATTATGGTTGTGTACCGCAATACCCCATTTTATTTGTTGGTGAGGGTTGAGCCCAGGGTTTCATATATGCTAGGCAAGCACTCTGTTGTCTGAGGTACACCTCCAGCCTTTGTGAAGTTAATATTGCTGACGTCTTAAGCCATTCTGATTTACCTTGCAGTTCCTCTGCAAGACTCGCATGCATGGGATAGGTGTTTATCATTCTGCGCCTTGTGGTTCTTGCTGAACAGGTGGTGGTGTCTGTGTGCGCAGTTAGATTCCATCATCCAGCCTCAGCATTTGCTCAAAATAGAGGGAGCTGCTACTTTGTAATGTGGAGTACTTTACACAAGGCACCGGCTCAAAGCCAATAGGCAGACCATCCACTGCAGATCACAAGCCGAGTCTGCCCACCTTCTCAGGGACAAACTAATTCATGGTAGTCTAAACCAACCAGGGTACCCCTGATCTCTTAAGGCAGCTCAGGCTAAGGGTGGCTCGTTCCTAGGGGAAGTTGGCTTCGTGGTGGAAGAGACAAAAATCACTGTAGTATCTAGGGGTCTGGAGAACCATGGATGCTATTGGAGCTACAGAGAGTCTGCCCAGGAGGAAAACTGGTGCAGTGAGTGAGCGTAGCCCAGCCAGAGGCAGGGGAGAAACCCAGCTCTGAAGACATCCTCAAGCCACCAAAGAGCCAAGCTAGGAACCAAGCTCCCATCACCCGACCCCTACCGCACCCTAATATCCAGTCTCCCCTTGCTTCTTTTCTCTTTTCTCTTTCCTTTCCTTTTCCTTCCTTTCCTTTTTTTCTCTTCTCTTTTTCTTAGTCATTTTCTTGTCTCAGACTTAGACACCATCATATGCCCAGCCTGGACTTCTTTTTCAGTAGACTCTAAAAATAAATAAGTGGCGGTTTTAAATTCATTCTAAGTCCTGTCTCCAGCACACACAGTTTCCTGCTCTCATGGCCTCCCGCTAAAATGAGCATTTTAACTGTGAAGATTTGAACCCAGAGCCCATAGCTGGGACTTCTTGGTACTCTGCCTCACTGGGGTTTTGAGAAAACTTCTCTGTCTTGTTGTTGTGTGTCACAGGCTGGAGGGTGTGGGTGGTTCTAGTTACCTTGGCCCTGAGGTTGGAAACACAGCTAGTCACACAAGAATAACAGATGTTCTCTGAAACAGTTGTTCTAGGCAAATAATAGCCCTACCCTGCCAGATGATACATTTTGCCAATGTGTGTTCTGTTTCAGATGCTACATCTGCTCAGCCAACCATCGAGGACCTTGGCAATCCCTGAAGGAGACCCTCTCACGATGGGGCTCCCTCCTGGACCCTGGATTAGTCACAAACCACATCCAAAGACCTGTTTTCACAGAGAGAGCTTTTATTAAGCGGGGAAGAAAAGTTAAAGTGGCTGTTTTCTGAGTCAGACAGAAAAACATCAGCAAACGACCTTGCAGGTGTAATTTATAAGAAACAGGAAAGCGGAAGTCTGTGTTAGAATGGGCGAGGTGCCATGGGATGTTTTGATTGGGCATCAAAAGGGGGCTTTTGATTGCTGGACTTCAATACTTTGATAGCTAGACCTTGGTGGTCAACCTCAGGAGGAGGAATTGGCCAAATAAGGGAAGCGACTTTAGGGGCTAGCTTTAGGAATATGATCTAATGGTTTTTTAGCACTGCAGAGGGAATGGGGAAGAGGGGGAAGGCCTGCCAGAGCTATGTTTGCCAGGTCTAGGCTGGCCAGAGTCCCTTCAATGCTGATAGCTGCAGGGATGAAGGTAGGCTGGGTCAGTTTGAGCCAAAAAGGATACCCAGCAAAGCCATCCCCCAAACCCTAGCCCCACCGTCCTTGTTCATATGGGAATCTTCCAAGGATTCTGGCTCCTGAGTCTGCCACTAATGAACACTTTCCTTAGCTGTAGCATCTAAGGAAAGTTCTGAGGTATGTAAGTTCTGGGAGGGAGAGAGGTCATAGAATTTATAAATGTTGCTACAATGTGTTTCCCCAGAGGTGGAGCCTTAGTCAGGGGCTCTTGTGAAAGTTGTTTATGGAGAGGGCTCTTTGGAGAAAGTTTCCAAAGAAAGAAACCAGGCCTGGGATGAGACAAAGTACGGGAACATCTCATTACCCTGGTCTCAGGAGAAATGTGGGGTGTTATACCACCCAGACAGTCCAGCACAATGATGTGCTTAGTGCTGGGGAGAAGGGCTAGCCAGGAGAGGTTTCCAAAGGAGGGCCCTGAGCCTGAACTTTATCTCACTGCAGCAAGAGATCCTAGAGAAAGCACAATAGACAAGAAACAGCAGGTCAAGCTTCGGCATCCATAGCAACAAGACTGCAGCTTCCCACACCCTTAAGTCCTGTTGTTGTTGGAGCCCATGATGGGCTTGGTTCTCGGAGACTAGACATCAGGGTACCACTGCATCTGAGATGGGGCAGGGCTCAACCTGGAAGACCTCACAGTTTAGTTGGGGAGAAGAACACGGGGCCAGAGGGCTGGGCTCTGAACACATATGTGAGGTTTTTCCTAGGCCCAGAAAGACCAGAGTTTGAAGGGATAGAAAGATCAAAAAAGGTTCTTTACAGCAGAGAGGCACCAAGAGGAGGTCCTCAAGGCCCTTTTGCAAAGAGGACTTTAAAACCCAACTGGTCCAGGAGACTAGACACCAGGGTGGGAGGCAGCAACTTGCAGGACTTTAATGTTTGAGATGCAGCGGAACAGGGTGGAATCCGGGGGGAGGAGGGCGGACAGAGTGGACTCCCCTAGCATGTGGGAGTCTTTCCTTTGCAGTGGGGCCGCCAGTAGTAACGCAGGCGCTTGTTGAAGCTGTCCAGGTTTTGCTTCAGGCACAAGGCCACCTCCTTGTCACAAGCACACAGTTGCCTTTCACACCAGCTCCCTCTGTCAGCTGTGGGCAAATGAAACAGGAATGGCTCAGCATCTGTCCCTTCCCGAGACTGGCCATGGGGTGCAGAAGGGGTCCTGAAACCAGCGTGGTCCCCTGCTCATCTTTGGAGATAGACTCTTTGACTGGAAGATGCACGTGCCCTCCACTTCTCTGCGTTCTTACTCAGTTACCTATTCTCACATCCGTTCACTGCACTATTGAGCACCGTTCAGGGACTCATCCTGGAGGGAGAAAGCTGAGCCAGGTGGGCAGATGGGAAGGCAGGTAACAGAGGGCTGCAGAGTGAATGAACATGGCCAAGCAGAAATGTGGGGGGTACAGGCCTGCAGGAGGATTAGGTACATCAAGGAGCCATCCCCAGCTCAGACCACTGCTCCTAGTGAAAGCTGGGGTAGCGAGCGAGTGTCCCCACAAGACAAGCATCTGTGTTAGCTTCTGCAGTTCCATTAACCTTAAGGTGAAGTGTTACAGGGCCTGATGTTGGTAAAACCATGTTGGGGTACCTATGGGTTCCCCCATGAGAATGGGAGTGGCTAGTACCTCCTGAAGTTCTTCCTGTTGGTTTTCTCCGACAGGTTATCAAGGAGGGCATGGAATTTCAGTGAGGTTGAACAGTGTTGAGCACACGGCTGTTCAGTGATGGACCTGCTTTTTAGATACCAAAAGCCTGGGGTGTCCCCTCGGTCCTTTCCACACCTTCACCTCTGGTGTTCCTCACTGCCCACCCCACTGAGAGAGGAACAGTGTCAGGTGTCACATGCTTTGTGTAGTACCACACTGGGTCTATGGAGGCAGGGGAGGCTAGGACTTCCAGATTCCCAGCTCCTGGCCCATAGCCCCAGGCACTTACAGCACTGGATAACGCCCTGAGAAATGCTGTATTTGTAATTGTCTGTCAGGCTCCTGCATCCATCAGTCTTCAGGTGGGCATAGCAACAATCATGTTTTTGACAGCACCTACAGAGAGAGGCAGGCAGGGAGCAAAGCTGCAGAAGCCACTAGTCAACACTGGCCTCTGTCTCTCCCCACCTCCACACGCCCACCAGGGATGATCAGAGACATTGGGGTTCCCTTGAGGTCATGAGAGCTGCTGTTGGTCAAAAGTTCCCATACTTGTTCCAGCCACATGATCTCTTTTAATCCCTGTGACTACCCCATGATGGGGTGCTGGGATCATCCCCTTTTCACAGATGAGGAAACAAAATTCAGAGGGTTGAGACACTTGGCCAGGGTCATGTGACTTCTCTGGCCTGGCTCTCAAAATGGTTGTGAAAAGTCAGACAAGAACAGGCAAAGAGTCTGGGCTTCAGAATACATGTGTAATGGTAACCAGTTAGGAAGAGGACTTCAGGTGTTCTGCAGAACCTTCTAGAAGGCCAGCTCTAAAAGGCTCAGGATCAGATTAGTACTTAGCAGAGTTCCTAGTGTGTAGTACATGTTCAGCAAAATGCATTTGCTAACTGAATCGGTGAATATAGAAAGAAGAAGAGTCCCAAGTAGGTCAGGGAGGGGAGTTTACCAGTCTGTGGCATCTTTGGGTTGTCCTTTGCCACCAAGTCCACAGTGACAGCCATAGGGCCAGTAGTTGAAGGCGGCTTTCTTCCCCGTCATGTGGTTGACCATCTTGTTCAGGTTCAGAAGCCCTCCCTGGGTTGCAGTTACACCTGCCAAGCAGCCAAACAATGACGAAAGGGGTGAAGTGGGGTTCCAGGGGCTCATGGGGAGTGGGGGAGGGGAGAGCAGAGAAACTGTGCTAGGCCAAGTGTGGGACTTGAAATGATAGCACTATCAAATAGTGGCCACTGCTCCTGCTATTTAAAAGGTGTTGGCTTAGGTAGTGTTGCTTAGTGAGAGAGTACACACATGCTTAATATGTGTCAGCCCGGAGTTCTGTGCCCAGACTAAGAAAGCTAAATAAAAAAACAGCAACTGGAACTGAGTCCTCAGTACAGGTCTTCCACGTATTAATTTCCTGATTTCATCCCTGTTACAAGATTTATTGTTTTTTTTTTTAAATTGTGTGTGTGTGTGTGTATGTGGCAAATGTGCACGGAGAGCCTGTGCTTGTGACTGCAGATGCCTTCAGAGACAAGGCATATCATTAGCCTGAAACTCACCTACTAAGCTAGACTGGCTAACCTATGAGCCCAGGGATTCTCCTGAGCAAGCCACCACACCTGGCACTTCCCCCCAAGTTCAGAGGGTCAAACGCAGGGTCTTAGATTTATAAGGCAAAAACTTTACCCACTGGACTCTTCTTCAAGCCCAGGGACTCCATTTGGAACCCCTCTTTACCAATGAGCAAACGGAGGCCCCCTGACTCACTCAAGGTCCTAGAAGGAAGAAAATCGAGCCAGAATCAAAGGCAATGCCCTCTGGTTTCTCTGTCTCTGAGCATTGATTTCCCACTAGGAACAGGGAGAGGAGGGCTGATTCACCCTCCCTCCCACAGCCCTCCCGCTGCCCTTCCTCTCTAGAGAAATCTGAGCTTTACAGCTGCCCGGTAGGTCTCCAGAGAGGCGCAGTGATTTAGAAATCAATGCTGCTCATTTCAGGCCTGGTAGCTGCCAGCGAGAATCGATCTTATGGGAAATCTGCTTTATTGGGAGAGAGGAACACATTATGTTAAATTAGGAGAAATGAAACACATGGAGTCGATGAATTCAGAGGAAAGTTGGGTGAAACAGCAAGTTAAAGACAATGCATCAAAAACACAGGGAGAACAGGCTGGGTGCGGCCATGAGGCTTAGGGGAGACGGGGCTAAGCAGTCCGTCCCTGGCCTGGTGTCACAGTGGATCCCTTTAGGATCACATAGTAAATATCGCGGAGAGGAGAGACCCACGGCAGAGGACTCTGGTGTGAGAAATGGGCCTTGGAAGGCATTAGTGCAGTGGACAAAGAGGAGGTTCTAATCAAGTGGCCCTGGGCTGCAATTAGAAGTGGCCGGCTGTTTTGGTGGAGGTGTGCCCCTGGTGGGCGAGTGACTGTCTGTTGTGTGGGTGCAGGTGTTCCCCCCTGGGTAAAAATCTGTGTGCATGCTCCTGTTCGGCACAGGACTCCTGGGTGAAGGACGTTAAAGGGAGGCCTTGCTGAATCTTGACTGTGCTAAGTGACCCCAGATCCCTGGGAAATATCTAGAATTCCCATATGGAATTAGAGGAAAAATCTCAGATTCCACGATGAAGAATCCCAAAGCAATTAACTGCAAAGACAGAATCCACCTGGGGAACCAACTGGAGATCTGAATTCAGAATCTTGCCTTTCTTGGCTTCTCGTCTTTATCTCTCCAAGCCCCTCCACCCCAGACAATTTTTCCCTCGGTAATGCAAGTTAACCTTGAACTCATGGCTATCCTCCTGTCTCAGTCTCCTGAGTGCTGGGATTACAGGTGTGAGCTAGTACCCCAGGCTGGCCCTCTACTTCTTTGCTTCAAAGCTAGCCCTTTCAATTTCAACTCACAAAGAGATATTCAACTCCCTCCCTGAAGCAGGCAGCGTTTCCTTGCCTGGCAGGTAAGAAATGCATTCAGTTTAGAGTCTGTCTGCTTTGTGTGGTCTTTGTGTGCATGCTCATCGTTCAGTAGTGAGACAACTGAGCAAACCCAAGTGCTCTGTACCAAAGCTTGTCAGCAACTCCTGTCTCAGTAGCTCCCCCATCCTTCCGTGCCCAGGAGTGAGGAATAAGTGACCAGAAGAGACACAGCTGTCATTTCGATGCTCAGTTCTTATGTAACACCTGATAACTATTTTCTCACTAGGGGTTCTTCAGTGGTACCGAGAGGATGCTGTGGTCCACTGGGCAGGTGAAGACATGAAGAGATTGCATGGCTTGGCTGAGGATGCTGTGCCAGGAGGTGGTGGGGGATGTAGATCCATCAAGAAGAGTGCCTCTGTGTTACATTGTCTCTGTAGTGAAGGATGAATTTCTGTAGCTCCATCTCTTGTTTGCTAAGTGGCTACATTGTAACACCAACACAGGGAAGTGACTCCCTCAAAGGTACGGGAGCCCTGGCTGTCCTGGAACTCACTGTGCAGACTAGGCTGGCATCAAACTCAGAGATCCACCTGCTTCTGCCTCCTGTGTGCTGGGATTAAAGGCGTACATCATCACTGCCTGGCTATAAAACCAATTTTAAAAACATGAAATTTCTTTATAAAATTGTATATTCAGAAATGGAGTAAGAAAACGGAAGCCAGTTTTCAAGCAGCCACATTTTTACATCTGATTGTCTAGAGAGTGAGTAGAAACTGTCCCCAGACCCCCTCCCTGCCAGTGGGAGAGGGTTCCTCTTCCCAGAATGTTTCACAGTGCAATCTTCCCCAGCTCTCTGAAGCCAGAAGCCAATGTCCTAGGTGCCTGGCAACCACTGATGACTCCTGCCTGGTGGTGGAAGTGTTGGGGACTGGAGTTCCAGTGTCCCCAGGATCAGAGCAGCCTAGTCTAGGGTGGAACACTCAGGATCTACGTCCAGTATCACTTCCTCCTTAGCCCCACACCTGTCCCCACTCACCAGCCAGCAGCAGCCCACATAGCAGGGCAAGTCTCATGGTTCCAGCGGAGTGCAAGGCAGGCAGCTGATGGAGGTTCCGTCACACAGGCAGCCTCTTATATTTGTCCCCCATCCATCCTACCCAACCCTTCCCAGCCCCTGCAGGAGCGACCCACGTGCCTCCTGCTTCCTCTTTTCTAGAATTCTTGGGTTATGGGTGTTTTGTTTTGTTTTTGAAGTATCTAGAATGGGAGATTTGGCAAGCAGCTTCAAGGTCTAGGCGATGAAAATCAAAGCTCTGGCAAGCTGGGCAAACGCTCTGTCACTGTGCCACAACCCAACTCCTTAGCAGAAAACCTGAAAAAACACAGAACCGGAAATTGAGGATCGTCTGTGAAGACAGAAACATGATTGGTATGTTAGTTTATGTCTTTATGGTACTATTTGTATCTGTCTGTCTGTCTGTCCGTCCGTCCGTCCATCCATCCATCCATCTATCTATCTATCTATCTATCTATCTATCTCTCCATCCATCCATCTACTTATCTATCTCCAATAATCTATCATCTATCTAATATCATAAATATCTATTATCAATAGTCTAGCATCAATCATTTACCATATATGTAATTATCTGTCTGTTTGTCTATCTATTTATTGCCAACCAAACATTTATCATCTTTCTATCTCCTATGGTTCTAGCAATCTATCTACTTACCTACTCTCAGTCCATTACCTGCTTCTGTATATAGGTTTTTCTCTTTCTGTCTCCATAGTTTCACCCTACCAAAGCAGGAAAATGTTCTATGTAGAACTAAGGAGTTCTTCCCCCACCCCACCCAGACAAGATCTCATAGAACCCACGCTGGCCTCAACCTCTTCAGTTAGTCAAAGGTGACCTTGAATTTCCAGTCCTTCTCCACCTCTTAAGTTCTAGAATCACAACTGTATGCCATCATGCCCGATTTGTGTGGTGCCAAGCTTGGCACCCAGGACCTCATGCACACTAGGTCAGCAGTCTAGCAACTGGGCCCATCCTCGGCCTCCTTCTTGTCTTTACTTACTGATGCTAGCTGAACACGTCTCTGTGTTGTTCAGTGCTCTTTAGCAGGAGTTTTGGAAAGCAGTGTTGCAGCCTGCCTTACCACTGTGCTGCTTGTATAACGAGTCTCTCAAGGATGGACACACAGGCTGCTGACCATCTATCACCACTCAGGTTCAGGGAGAGAGATGTCCTGATATCTCCACTCAGGGAGAGAGATGTCCCGATATCTCAGCTCATACCCAACTCTTGCCCCTTGTGGGCTCGCTGACTCAAAAAGCACCTATGATGGTCAGAAGGTAACTGGCTTGTGTGAACAGCTTAGCCTGCAGATGACCTGCCCCAGTTTACTTGACAGGATCCCGGTGTGATCCGAGCCAATGAGGGTAGAGCAGAGGGGGGTTCCTCCATGCTTGTTGATGACTGCTGGGCACAGCATGCCCAATAGGGCTCCTTGTTCCAGGCCAATCAGTTCATCCAAAAGATGTTCCAGCAGGAGTCACTGCTAGGGACACTTGTGTCATTATTGTTCATCCCTCCTTCCTTCCCTCCCTTCCTTCCTTCCTTCCTTCCTCCCTCCCTCCCTCCCTCCCTCCCTCCCTCCCTCCCTCCTTCCCTCCTTCCCTCCTTCCTTCCTTCCTTCCTTCCTTCCTTCCTTCCCTCCCT